AAAAAAAAAGAGAAGAGGATAGAGAAAGATAGCAAGTGAACAATAGAGGGGATGTTAGTGAGAAACAGATATGGTTTATTATCTGTTGATGATGACGTGTATTGTATTCTCAACTGGACTGGTCTGGGAAGTATTTCATGATGGGTGAAGTCTTTTAACAAGCAAAATGAGAAATAGTGATTGACTGTTTTAAAAAATTATAATAATAATAATAATTATTGGGAAATGCATGGAAAAGACATTGAATGATAAAGCAGGGAGATTGATGTCTCTGTATTGACTGACATGCATGGCATTCCCTTTTGAAAAAGCAATGGAAGTCAATGTAAAGTTATATGTAATCCAATGTAATATAAAGAAGATTATGATGATAATAAAAAATAAAAAAATGAGGACCAGCAGTTTGCATGTGGCTATGTCACTGGACTCCCATGTAGTCGACGACAGTTTGAGTCCCAGACCCAGTCGCTTAAATTCATGTCAGGTGTGTGTGCATGCATGCCCAAGAACCCCAGAGGAGAATGGAGGAGAAGGGATTGCAGCGTGGCCAAACCCCTGTGGGGTGATCTCTCGTTTTTCTGTGTCTCTGTCCCTCTCTGTCTTTCTGGCAAGTGCACGTGCCCTATAGCAAAAACCTCTCAAAAAAAGGAAAGAAAAAAAAAGGTTTTTGACTTAGGGCATGTGTGCCTGCTGGAGAGAGATAGAGACAATGTGAGGGAAAGTAAGGCTCAACCCCCACCCGGGGGATGGCCATGCCACAATACCTTCTTCTCCATTCTCTTCCTGGGATTTTGGGCATGCATGCATATACATCTTGTGTGATTTTCTAAACAATGTTTCTTTTTTTAAATTTATTTATTTAACTTTATTTGTTGTTATTATTATTATTATCATTGTTTTAATTTGACCTAGAGACAGAGTGAGAGAAGGGGAAAGTGAGAAAGCAAGCCATAAGATCCGCAACTCGAACCATGGTCAGTCACGTGGGAGTCCAGCACTCCACCTGCCGGCGCCCTCATGTGATTTTCAAGCCACCGCGTAAGGGATTCAAACCACAGTCAGCCATATGGGAGTCCAGCAATGTAACTGCTACACCACCTGCTAACCCAATTAGATTTTCTTAGTTTTCTCCAAATACGTTCCAGCTTTCCTCAACTCCAGAACTATGGTCCAAACCATTATTATGTTATGTTGGACAGTGACAGTGACCTTCTCATGTGTCTTTGTGCTCTTTTTTATTCATTATTTATATTCAAACTGATCTTTTAAAAGCAGAAGACTGGGATCAGCAGATGGCGTAATGATCACATTGCTTTCATGTAGTTGACCATTGTTTGAGTCCCAGACAGGCAGGTTAAAACTCACATCTGTGTGCGTGCCCCAAATCCTGAGAGGTGAATGCAGGAGAAGGGACTGTGGTGTAGTATCCCCCTGGAGGATGATTTCTCAGTTTCTGCCTCTGTCTCTCCAGCAAGCACACATGCCCTATAGCAAAAATCTCTCCCTCTAAAAAAAAATAATAAATAAAGAGCTGGCAGATGGCATGGTGATTAAGGTGCTAGACTCCCATATGGCCAACTATGGTCTGAGTCTCAGACCTGGTGGTTTTCTCTCTGCTCCCCGCCCCCACTACTCTTATCAAATTAAAAAATAATAACAAAAATAAATAAATAAATAAATATATTTTTTAAAAAGCAGAAGACTAATTATCAGCTCTTCTCATTAAAAACCTTTGGATAAAATGAAAACTTTTCACTGTGGCTTTGCATAATTTGGTTCCTGCTTTTAGTCTCCATTCAGTAAGGTTTATCTTTCTGGCCTTTCTCTATTACACTGCCCAGCAGGTTCCTTCTCAGAATCTTTGTATACTTGGTATTCCCCATATTGGGATAGTTAATTTCCTTATGACTCATTTATTCTCATCTTTAATATCTTATTGTCACTCTACTTAAACGGCCCCTTCTCCACCATGTATGTTCAGAATAGACAACTTATCTTGTGACCAGATGTCCACCAGACTGTGAGGGCCTCACCCTTACCTGTCTGTCGTTGCTGCACACATCACACAAGATCCTGTATTTGAACCTGGATCTCAGTCTAGGATGAGACCATGCACTACCTTCCTTTAGGGAAGAGATGACCACATTTCATGTTAACAGCACCATTTTTGAAAGTGTGCAGTGGACAGAAGGCCTATTACATGGAACATTCAGAGGTGGGGCTAAACCTAGCACTGTCCTCTACCTAACCAAAAGCCATGTCCCCCCTTCCATGTGATAGTCCCAACAGGATGAAGACACCCACCCTTCTTTCGTCCATGTGGTCTGGTCAGCAGGGACAAGGCACAATTCTCAGAGCCTGCCCTATCTTCACTCTATGACAGGTTCAGACACTAGTGTGTGAATTTTTTAGTTTTTGGGCACCAATGGAAGGAATCTTTGTTTTTGTCTTGTAATAGGGCAAATGACCTAGCCAGAGAGATAGAGAGACAGAGAATGAGAGGACATAAGAAATCACCCCCTGGAGAAATGGCCATGCCACAATTGCTCCTCCTCCATTCTGCTCTCAGGATTTCGGGCAAGCATGCATATGCGCCCGGTGTGTTTTGAAACCACCAGGCCCAGGACTGAAACTGTGCAGCCACCCATGTAGGGTCCAGCTGCCTTAACCTGCACATGCCAGCCCAGAAAGGGATTTTCCCAGAAAGAAGTAACACTTTTTCCAATGGTTCCTGCCATACCTGCATATGATGGCTGGCACCGAGTAACATACCAGGATATAATGAAGAGGGCTTATGGAGGAAAGGTGTAACACCCCATGATGACAAAGGACCAGCAGATGGGAGCTTGATTCCTGACATTTCCAAGTTTCTGAACGAAGTCGTTACGCCACTGTCCTACAGCAGATGGTTTGACATTTGAGACTATAAATTTGTTTAACTCTGGTTGAAATGGGAAGGTAAGATACTTAACATCTCAGACTAGTGATAAGATGCTTAGAAAAACAAATCCAGCAGCAACCGCTACAGAGAAAAATCTGTTCTCTAATACAGCTAAGAATTCAAGCTATCCAAGTATGAGATAATGCCAATCTCGTCTCGGTAATCATTGAGGACACAAGAGCCAAAAGATACTTTTCAAATGTAAGACACTAATAGAACAGCAGCAGTAGTTAGATTACCATAATGGGATAGTGTATCCAAAGTAAGCCCACAAGGCCAGATTGTGGGACTATAAATCAAACGATAGCAGTAACAAAAATGAGGACATGAAGGAAAAATGGTCATTTTAGAAGGAAATTCCTTCCCATTTCTGATACAGAGATTAAAGTCTGGGAAAGAAGAGGGGAGCTCTCCTGTAAGCATATAAAACCCAGGACTCAAGTAAGAAAAAAGAAAAGGATGTCACTTTTGTCAACACTGTTGTCAAAATGCTGACAACGTTAGAGCACTGGTGGGGGAGGGAGTTTAAATCTTCAGAATGGAACAGTCTTTCAATAGTTACAATAGACCTGGATTCCTAACTGGGGCCATGACCATGGGATGGGAACTAATACAGAAAGCAAACTTTGAACAGACTCTCTGCAAGCCCTGGGAAGAAAGGAAGCCCATGGAAGTAAAGGAGGACAGTGATATCCTCATCTGAGGAGCTCATGCTTTCATCCTGTGGCAGTTCCAGTGGTTCAAGAACTCCTCAAGGTGTCTCCACACAACACCGTATCCATGCTAAGTCATGGAGGAACAACTAGTTTACTGCTACACTTCCCACCCTCCTAGTTCTCTTACCCACCTGGACAGCTCTGACTGCAAATTGGGACATTTAGTATCCATGGTTCTTCTCCTTGCTCCAACTTGAAGATTAAATCAGGTTTGCTACCATGATACCCTGTGAATGGAAAATTGCAAAGGATATAGGCCAGATGGCTAGGGACAGGGCTGAGGAATCAAGAGACACAAAACAAAATTGCTTATTATATGTGGGGAAAGATTATAATTAGGGGACCAGCAGTTGGTGTAATAGCTATGTCCCTGGACTCCTATGTGGTCGAACGCAGTTCGAGTCCCGGACCCAGTGGCTTAAACTCATACCAGGTGCGTGTGCATGCATGCCCAAGATCCCGAAAGAATGGAGAAGGGATTGCGGTATGGCCATCCTCTCTGGGGGGGGGGGGGGGTCTCCCCTTTTTTACAGCTCTGTCTCTCTGGCGAGCGCAGGTGCCCTATAGGTTTTTGCTATAGGGCACATGCACTCGCCAGAGAGACAGAGAGACAGAAAGTGAGGAATCACCCCCCGGGGGGATGGCCACGTCTCAATCCCTTCTCCATTCTCCTCCTGGGATCCTGGGCAGACACACACACGTGCCCGGCGTGAGTTTAAGTCACCGGGTCTGGGACTCGAACCGCAGTCGACTACATGGGAATCCAGCGACATAGCCATTATGCCAACTGTTGGTCCCTAGCAAAAACCTCTTAAAAAAATTATAGTTAGAAGGTGAGAGACAAAAAGGGACACAAAACACTTGACCTCTGAAGTTCAAATTAATAGTCACTAAACACTTGAGAGGACCCACAGTAGATCACCAAAAGAAGAGATGGCAAGTTATAGCCCACATCTGAGTTAGGAGGACACTTACCCACTGACACCCAGCTGTTATAGTTTTCCAACATCACATCTGTGTATAGGTGTTTCTGTGCAGAATTCAGTAGCTGCCATTCTTCCCAGGTGAACTCCATAGATATATCCTTGAATGACAATAACCCCTGTAATAATACACACCCCATTCAATCAGATGCAATTACATTACATGAAATGGAGAAGATGCAGATGAACTGGAAAGTAAAAATGTTCCTCCACAGACTGTTTCCTGGGCCTAGTTCAGCATTTACTTTGTGAAATAATTAAAAATCGGTTAATCAGGGGGCAGCAGGTGGCACTGTGATTAAGATGGCTAGATCCTACATGGTGACAGGGTTCCAGTCTGGACTCAGTGGCTTGAGAAGCAGACGGTCATGTGTGCCCAGAATCTTGAGAGGAGAATGAAAAGGGGATTGCAGCATGTTCTCCCCCTGCTGGGGATGCTTTCTTACTTTCTTTTCCTCTCTGGTGAGCACATGTGCCCTGCAGCAAATAGGAAAAAAAGCAGTCAATCAATCATTGAGCTTCTCTATGTACCCCATATTCTTTTGGGTCCTGAAGATTTGGGGATGAATACCATCCAGGTCTATCTTCAAGACATTTTTAATATTGTAGAGGAAAACAAATTTTTATACATGCAAATGAAATAATGTGTTTCAAGTCTTTGATAAAAAAACATATGTCACATAGGTTATCTTAAACCCCTATAGACTCTTTTTCTTCTGAAAATGGATTCAGAAGTATTGGCGACACTACTAAGGTGCCAGATATGGATTAAAATCCAATGTGTCCCAAAGCTTAAGCTTCTGGGGCTCCCTAAGTCCCCACCAGCTGGTCACCTCTAGATGAGGTCTCATTAAACAGATAGGACAAAGGCACACGGCCTCAGACAAATGGTGAGCAACCCAAAAGAGCTCAGTATGAGCAGTGAAGCTAGGAGGTTGTGACTGTCTCAGACAAGGTTATGAGTGAGGCCTTAGCAAGGTCAGGCACATCCTCACATTTACTACTCAGGCTGAGCTCACGACTAGACTCTGAGGACTTGGGACAAACACAGTGTCCTTCTAGACCGCATGGCTTCCCCAAGACGTCCTGCTGAGCATTAGTCAATAACCATAAATTGAGTGAAAGAAGCAACCCAAGGCAAACAGCAACAGCTCTTTTAGCACAAAGAGGTTTAGACTTACAGGCACTTTAGATAGACTTACCCAACAGAGAAAGAAAGCTAAAGTAGCTGTAAAATGACTGAAAACAGGAGAACTTTTTTTTTCTTTTTTGAGAGGTTTTTACTATAGGGCGCATGTGTTTGCCAGAAAGAGAGAGAGAGACAGACAGAAAGCGAGAAATCCCCTCCCCTGGGGGGATGGCCATGCTGCAATCCCTTCTCCTCCATTCTCCTCTTGGGATATTGGGTACACACGCACACGCCCCCAGCGTGAGGTTAAGCCACCAGGTCCGGGACTCGAACCATAGTCGACCACATGGGAGTCCAGTGACATAGCCATTACACCAACCGCTGATTCCAGAACTTTTAAAAATACATCAAAACAGGGACCAGCAGGTGGCATGATAGTTAAAGCACTGATTCCCACATGGCCAACTGAGGTTCAAGTCCTAGAGCCAGCAGCTTAAAAACCACGCTGGCTATGTGTGTGTACCTGCCCAAAATTCTAATAAGAGAATGGAAAAGAAGGGATTGCAGTGTGGCCAGCCCCCCGAGGGGTGATTTCTCACTTTCCCTCTCTGTCTCTGGCAAGAGCCTGTGCCATATAGCAAGAACCTTAAAAAATAAATACATAAAAAATAAAAGTAACAAAACAAACTTTATCAAAAACAACAGGTAAATGTGAAAAAGTCCCAAAGAGGTTTCCTAAAGATTAAGTCAAAGACAAGGAGAAAAATAACAAAGTGCAGATAGATTTGAAGAAATCACACAGAATGCAGCAAAGAACAGAAGGCAAAAAACATGAAAGCACAGTTAAAATAGGTATAAGACTAAATGTAATTTGAAAGTAGGGATAGTAAGAATGGGGAGAGGGTAAACACAGGAGGTTATTCATATCCTCTTCTATGGGACCCACTTACATTGCACTACAGGGGGAACCAGCAGTTAGCGTAATGGCTATGTCGCTGGACTCCCATGTAGTCGACCGCGGTTCGTGTCCCGGACCCGGTGGCTTAAAACTCACGCCGGGCGCGAGTGCGTGCGTGCCCAAGATCCCGAGAGGAGAATGGAGGAGAAGGGATTGCGGCGTGACCATCCCCCCTAGGGGGTGATTTCTCGCTTTCTGTCTCTATGTCTCTCTCTGTCTGTCTGGCGAGCGCATGCGCCCTACAGTGAAAATCTCTCCAAAAAAAAAAAAAAAATTGCACTACAGGAATGTGGTACATACATACAAACACACCTTCATGAGAAAAGGTAAAAAAGAACAGACAGAAGCTGCTACGATATTTCAACAAATTTTTGGAAAACAGAAGGCAAAAAAAGTGGTAACTCCCATGTAGTCCACCGCAATTCACATCCCGGACCCGGTGGCTTAAACTCACACTGAGCGCATGTGCGTGCGTGCCCAAGATCCTGAGAGGAGAATGGAGGAGAAGGGATTGTGGCGTGACCATCCCCCCTGCGGGGTGATTTCTCACTTTCTGTCTCTCTTTTTCTCTCTTTCTGGAGAGCACACATGCCCCATAGTAAAAAACTCCTCCTCCCCAAAAGAAAAAGTGGTAATTTCAGAGCGGAAACTAGCTCAGAAACAAGTAGAGGGTAGGGAGTGGTGAATACTGGTGAACAGCAAACCATCTGCCCCATAGACATCCCCAAACATTTCCAGACCAAGTATCTGAATGGGAGGAATGAGGTGTGAGATGACAAGAAGGAAAGTTGTACAAATTGGGCTCTCAGGTCCCACCCACCAGGGTCTCTGGAGTGGGTATCACTCAACAAACACATAACTACAAAACGCCCATGGTACCAAGTGCTCTTTACTGGTCTCAAGCAGGTAATTTTTTAAAATTTATTTAATTTTGTTCATTGTCATTATTTTATTTTATAGTTTTGAAGTTGACCACAGACAGACAGAGAGGGAAAAGGAAAGTGAGAAAGCAAGCTGCCAGGTCGGGGACTCAAACCGCAGTCAGCCATGTGGGAGTCCAGCCACCTTAACCACCCTGCCATCTGCTGGCCCTCAAACAGATACATTTTTAAAGAGTCAGAAGAGGGGGACCAGCATTTAGCGTAATGGCTATGTTGCTGGACTCCCATGTAGTCGACTGTGGTTTCAGTCCTGGACCCAGTGGCTGAAACTCATGCCGGGCACGTGGTCGTGCGTGCCCAAGATCCCAAGAGGAGAATTGAGAAGGGATTGCGGCATGGCCATCCCCCCTGGGGGGTGATTTCTTGCTTTCTGTCTCTCTGTCTCTCTCTGTCTGTCTGGCTAGCGCACGCGCCCTATAGCAAAAACCTCTCCAAAAAAAAGTCAGAAGAGGATGCTGTTTCAGTCAGGGTGCAAGTACAGCTCCCCGAAGACACACCCTTGTGCAAAGTAAATCATGTGAGAATGAGCAAGAGCTCTGGGTTACCTGCAGGAAGAGCATTCCTGGAGGTGCAAAACAAACAGGCCCAAGGGTATAAAAGGTCTGGTAAGGACTTGAAATCCTATTCCCGGTAGAAGATAAGCCACCAAGAGGCTTTAAACAAACACTGGACCCCATTTTAGGAGATCCACTGATTGCTGTGAAGAAGGGAGGGATTGATCAGCAGAGACATTAGGGAGACAAGCTGGGAGACATTGGGAAGACCGCATTGGTTTGCCAGAGAGACAGAGAAAATGAGAAAGTACCTCCCAGGGGAATGGTCACACTGCAATCCGCTCACCTCTATTTCTCCTTTCGGGTCTTTGGGCACACACGCATGCATGCCCAGCATGTTTCTCAAGCCATTGGGTCCAGGATTTGAACCATGCAGTCAGTCATGGGGGATCCAGCCACCTTAACAACCACAAAGGTGAGGAAGTCTAAGGATGGAAAATGGAAAAAACAAGAGTGAATAACTAGTCTAGGAGAGGCATAAGATAATGAAGACTTCATTCCAGAAGGGTGTCACTGAGGGAGAAGTGCACTCATTAAGGAAGAGAGGACATACTCAATCCCACCAAAATAGGAGAGACTCCAAGAAAAGGAGCCTATAAAAGGTTAAACTGGCTCTGCGATGCAGTGGTAAGAGAAGT